GAGGCTCCCAACGAGTCACCCACTGACTCCCACCAATCCCGGGCTCGGTCCCGTAAACACCCTGCTGCGTACCTCACCTTCGACCCCTCGGGGCAGAAGCTGGTCAACTGGGCGGACTCAATATCCGCAATCCACCGCCTGGCGACAATGGGGTCCTTCACCCCATGGAAATCCGGCGCACCACTGCCCCTGAAGTCCTTGAAGGACAGTGTGCGAGATCCCGACTGGCTAGAGGCCAAGTCGCTCCTGAATGCCCGTAGGCGATCCTCCATCAACTCCATGATCCCTTCCTTGATCGACCCAAAGATGATGGGGGTCGACTCAAGGATGCCCCTAGTGATCTCCGACGTGATGAACTCACGTAGCCTCTCATCAATCGGCTCGGTGCCTGATCCCGAACCTGACCCCTCTCCTGACCCGCCATCTGTCGGTCTCGGTCGAAGTACCACCATTCTGCAAAACATCATAATAATCATTAGTGGTACTGCTACTTTCTGAGGGATCTCAACTACTTACAGGTTCCTTGGTCTCGTCTTGGCCTTCCTCGGCTCGGGTACGGATCCTCTGCTTTCAGTAGTACGGGCCCATACTACCTTCCACATCTACCCGTACCTTCTCCGAGGAATTCCTCGACTCCACCAGCTCCCCTTTACTACTGCTACTCTCTGTTATTCTCATCCTAGGCTTGCCCTAGGGAAAACTCAAGTTCAACACGACTGGTCCTCAGCTGCTGTAGGTCTCCTCATAATGCCAGTTAGCCACCACCTAAACACCATCACATGTGATGAGGATTAGATAATCCTTCAAGTAAAAGATCCGTCCCTACAACGGTTGGACTCAAACAAGAGCTGCGCAATAGGGCCAGTTCCAATACTTTGGGATTATTCAACCCTGATTACATGTGGTGTGACGTGTTTACCTAGTGGCTAATTCCCATTACTCAGAATCCCACCAAGCACGAAGCAAGCAGCATTCGGATAAGGGAAAAACAGACTCAAGCCAAAACTATTCTTATAACAAGAAACGACACTTAACATAGGATGCTAAGCTCATACTATCAGGCATAACCTAAACAGGCTATCCTACTGCTGTCTACTCAATTCTAGCATGCAATATTCATAAAGCTGTAACACATAAGCAGGCACATAAGGCATCACTCCTAGATCCTTAGCCTATTCTAGCATGCAGTTCTACGTAAGCTGATAAACATAACATAAACTTGTATGGGTACTATGGGGAATACTTACTTGAGCTCGGCCGGTCGCGCACGTCACACACTTTGCTCTTTCTTATGACTCTTTTCCGGGTTTTAAAGAACAATTTCTTTTGAAAATCTTTCAATCCCTCGATTTGAGTCCAAACACTCCCGAAGGCGTGTCCGAATCCCTCAAACCAGGGCTCTGATACCAACTTGTAACGACCCAATTTTTACGTCCGAAAATTTCATTTTAAAATATTACTTTAGAAAACATTAATAAATAAAAACATTGTTTGATCACACCATAACACATCGCAACCATGTTCTAAAAGGTCAAACCATACATCCCATCAAAATATCAGAGTACAATCCCAGTAAATCTCGTAAATGCGGAAACCGAAGAGTGTGTGTATGACGTGCCGCTACCGCGCCGGCTCCTTCCCCTTCGGTGCAGAGGTACCTGAAAACAAAACTGTAAACGTAAGCACAAAGCTTAGTGAGTTCCCCCAACGTACCACATACCACACAAACACATAACATACGTACTGCCAGGCTATTCTGGGGTGCCTGACTACCCGGTACGGCCATTCTGGGGTGCCGACCTACCCATGCGGCCATTCTGGGGTGCTGACTACCCATGTCAAGCCATTCTGGGGTGCTGACTACCCATCGGTCCTAACAACCGATCCTCGGGGACTGGTCCCCTCCCGCTACCTCTATCGCATAACATAACAGACCAACATACAAGCATACCATCACATACAGTCAGATAATTCTGGGGTGTCTGACTACCCAGCGGTCCTAACAACCGAACTCTACTACTATTGCATATAACGTATCATGATAGCATATAACATAACAGGTAATAGCAAACCTAGATGATTTCACAAAGACAATCATCTATCATACGTCTCCTACTGGTGGGCCGGCATTGTGGCCTTAGACCCACCGCTACTGGAAGGTAACTCACCTCAAAGTAGCTGCTGAACTGATCGGGAACTAACTGACTGCTGCTGCTCCGGGAGTCCTCCGGCTGCAATTCCCACAACATACTCAATCAAACACTGCTAACTGTCCTTTAGGTAAAATGACCATTTTACCCCCGGTCTAGCTCTAAGCCAATGCTAGAGTCAACTTTCAGTTGACCCGACTCGCCGAGTGGATCTCCACTCGCCGAGTCCCTAGCAAACTATTGTCCTGGGTCCCTGGTTCTACTCGTCGAGTTGGGCTATGACTCGACGAGTTCATCTTCTAACTGTCATTCAACTCCTTCATCCTACTCGCCGAGTTGTATGAACAACTCGTCGAGTTCATCTTCATCCGAAGAACACTTTATGCTAAGACTCGCCGAGTTGTATGAACAACTCGCCGAGTCTGTTCTTGATCTATGAAGATTGCCTTGGACTCGCCGAGTCAGGGCATTGACTCGCCGAGTCCTAACATGGGTGAGTTCAGCTCCCAACTCACCGAGTCACCCCCTGTGACTCACGGCTCAACTCGATACATCATGAAGGGACCAAATCGGTGACTCGCGACCAGACTCGCCGAGTCGCCAATACGACTCGCCGAGTCGCCGCCATGCATCCACCAAATACACCGATTTACTCGATTTCAGTCCATGCCATTCATAGATCTGGACTTCTAGGACACAAATCACACGTAAAGTTTCCAACTTTACGTGTGGATATTCACTAATGTGGATTTTAGGGTGCAAAATGCCTCAAAAGGGTAGATCTAGGATGAACAAGCCACATGGGGCCATAAAGCTAACAGATCTGAGCTCCTGGAGCTCAATCTTGCCTAGATCTAAAGGTTAATCCACTTATTACGAAACATTAAGCACAAACAAGCTTGAAGAATTGCTCAAGAGTGTCTCAAATGGAATCTTAAGCATAGAAACAGGGGAAAAACGAGATATACCTCAAGGAAAGTGTTGAAATGACACAAAGATGGCTGATCTCCTTCTCCTCTTCTTGATCTACTCCTCTTTCTCCTCAAAACCTTCAAGAACACACCAAGAACACTTCAATCTCTCAAGGAAATAACGGAAAACGATGTTGGGGGAGTTCTGGGGGTGAATGGGGACGAGTTGGGGTGGAATGAGGGTTTAAATAGGGTGCAAACCCTTGAAACTTAGGGTTTCATCCAGTAGCGGTGACTCGCCGAGTCCAGGATATGGACTCGCCGAGTCGCCCACTTAAACGTGTCCTGAGTCTCGTCCCTACTCGGCGAGTCGGACCTTATGACTCGCCGAGTCCAAGGCTAAAATAGGGCAATGCTCAAATAAAATTCACATACCGGAAACCAGGTGCTACAAATAAAAGTGGGTTGCACCTGATCATACATCGGTTTGGAAGGAGAACGAAATATCTACTTATAAGGGGTGTGGATACCTTCCTTGTCACAACGCGTTTTAAAGCCGTGAGGGCAGCAGATCCCATAAGAACTCTGCAGTTAAGCGTGCTCGGGCGGGAGTAGTACCGGGATGGGTGACCCCCTGGGAAGTCCTCATGCCGAGTGGCCCAAAGCGGACAATATTGTGATACGTGCCAGAGGGGGATGTTACAAATGGTATCAGAGCCAGGGCACGGGTCGATGTGTTCGACAGGGACGTCGAACCCTATAATGGGGGGTGAAAGTGGGTTGCACCTGATCCTACATCGGTTTGGAAGGAGAACGAAATATCTACTTATAAGGGGTGTGGATACCTTCCTTGTCACAACGCGTTTTAAAGCCGTGAGGGCAGCAGATCCCATAAGAACTCTGCAGTTAAGCGTGCTCGGGCGGGAGTAGTACCGGGATGGGTGACCCCCTGGGAAGTCCTCGTGCCGAGTGGCCCAAAGCGGACAATATTGTGATACGTGCCAGAGGGGGATGTTACATCATCCCTAATTGGATCTTCTTCTTCATCTTCTCTTCAATTTAATCTTTTTTATCCTTTCCTTAAGAGTGCAAGAACTCCAAAATGTAATTTCTGGGAATGGTTGGAACAGTATGAGTATGAAGTAGAGAAGAACAATGATTTGGGACAAATCTACAACCTAACATTGAAGCTTGGAAATTTGGAAAACGAAATTAGTATATGCAGGAAGAAGTTGGAAGAAGAGAAGAACTCTGATTTGGTTTTCAGACAAGAACTAGATAAAGTCAAGTGGAAGTTGTTACTCATAAAGTTACATTGTTTGTGTTATTTTTCTTCTATGTCAAAGATGTAGTTTTTAAAGTTTGATGTGTTTTTTGTATCCTATTTGATGTATTTTGAGTATATCATGTAAGTTGGACGTGTTATTACTAAAGCATGTGTTTGAGTTAATGTAGCATAATTTTGATGAATCATGACTAAAGTTTGATGTTTAATACTTGATGTATTTTGATCAAATTGTATACAAACATGTAAATAAACTTGTGCAAAAGATGTTAAACACAGGGAACACAACTAGCATTATAAACATCACAAATGACATTACCAATATGTAACATTGATGCATCATGACTAAAGTTTGATATATATATATATATATATATATATATATATATATATATATATATATAATGAACGCGTGCAAACATCTAAGTAAACATGTAATGTATACAAAATCTAAATAAACATGTACTTAAAAAAAATGTTAAAGTACCTTACAATACAAAAGATTCCCAAACATATAGGATCCAAGATGTTAAAGTACCAAACATTCCAAAAGATGTGTCAAGTTTGTCCCATTATGCCAAAGCTATTACAAGACCCAAGATTCAAAAACATGCATACCAAAAGTTGTGCAAAAATATAAACAAGACATTAAATTTAAATCTCTAGTGGGTGTTCATTACTGCTTCCCTCTTTCCTCCCTATGTTCTTCCCTAGCATAATCTTTGTAAAACTTTCTAAAGTTTTTCTTGTCCTCTTCCTAAGTTGAATTTCTGCATTGTCTTGAATTTCCTGTTCCGCATTATCTTGAACTTCTTCTTGAATGTTAGCTTGAAGTTCATGTTCCATTTCATCTTGAATCTCTTCTTCAATGTTATCTTGAACTAAAGGAACTTCAATGTTAGCATCCACTTCGGGTATTTCAATGTTAACTTCCACATCAACTTCATGAACTTCAATGTTAGCCTCTACATCAACTTCAGGAACTTCAATGTTAACCTCCATTTCGGGTACCACATCACTTGTAGCTTCCACCTCAATGTTAGCTTCCACATCACTTTCACTTTCAAACATAACTACATATTCCACTTCCAATTCAGCTTCAATGTCTACTTGAACATCAACTTTACCTGTAAGAGGGAAAAGGTTCAGAAATGCCACACAAGTGTAATATATTAGATAAGTTAGCACCATACCTTGTTTCTGATGGGTTTTGGTCATGAGACATCCTATGTGCTCATACAAACCCTAATGCTTGGATCTAGGTTTCTCTATTGTACATGCTTTGAATCCAAGACTATAAACCCTAATTCTAGCATACAAGTAATCATATTAATATGTAATTAGGTTTAAGATCATACCTTGATTGTTATGTAGCAATAACAATCCCAATTCCTCCTTGAATTGACTTTGGAAGGCTTAAAGTCACAAGTGTCACTCCTCTAATGGTTCACAAACACCATAAGCAAGAGGATGAAGAGGAGAGAGGTTGGAGGCTGCCAAAAACGTGTAGAAACCCTTACAAGAAGCTTAGCCACGTTTTTGAGTCTTAAGGGGTCTTTATATAGTTGGGCTATTAGGGTTATCTAACAAGGAAACCCTAATTTGGATGCTTAAGCCCTAAGCAACCCATAGACTCCTTTTATCAAGCCCATGGACGATTTCCTTATGGGTTTCCCATTAGAATTCGTTCATCCCTTAATATAAGGCAATCCATGGCCCAAATTGCAATTCTCTTATAATTACAGTTCCAATCCCTTAAGTTTAATTAATCTCTTTTAGTCACAAAACTAATTACCAATTAATTATTGACTAATATTAATTAAACAATATGATTCCTCCTTTAATATATTATTCCCATAATATATTAATAAATCATATTTAATCCTTTCTCTCCATAATTCATCCTATCAAGTTGCTTCGGTTAAGGCAACCCAAAAGGACCATGCACCATCGGGTCAAGTACATACCAAAATAGTTATGGACTTAGACACTAATCCAACAGTCTCCCACTTGGATAAGCCTAACAACTATTCTGCGTATGACTTCAGATCCCGATCTGCAATCGTAGCTTTCCAAAGCCGCTGTCAACTCTGATTACATCAGATACGCGTGTCCTTAGATAAGGGATCATATATTCCTCCATTCTAGATATCGTCTGAGATATGATTTCTAATCATTCTCTTTGTACTACTTCTCAATTTCTGATTTATGACGACAGACTAACTGAACAAATCAAATTAGCCCTAGCCCGGCCGAGCATTTACGTTTGTCATCACTAAACCATCGAGGGGCTCAAAGATATCGCTTTTATCCTACCGTGGATAAAAGGAACGGATAAACATTGATACAATGCTTGCTTACACTCACTAACCAAATCACACACAACAATATGTTTTATAATACCAAGTTACTAGTGCGTTTACATATTATCAATGTGCAACCGATTAGCAAGATACAACTCACACATCTCGGTTTCAAGAATATAAGATGTTATCGTCTCACTAATCACTCGAGATAGTGATCCAAGTGAGCGTGGGTTTAATCCAATGCTCAAATCATATTCATAAGCACTCATGAACGTTGCATCAAACATTTGCTTATGTCTAATACTCTTTTAGACAATCCACACACCAATTCACGAAAATCTTCATTCATGTCTACTTCCAACATATGAACGACTGTGGCCCGTTCGAATAATTCAATTATTCTTAATAAACTCAATTATTCTGGAAGTCAAAACATGCAAGGTGAAACACAAGAATAATACTAATCCCATATGGCCTCAAACCTTTGAGTATAAACAAAACATGTTTTATTTATCACCATATCGATTACTCATTATTTATCGTTTCGGGTAATCAACTTTATACTTGAATTATTACACTTGTCCCATGCTCCTAGCATGCACACAATGTTTACCTATGGTTTTTACTTTGTGAAATAGAGAAATTGAACACATTTCCAATCATTCTCATTTTACAACTCCAAATCCATTTTCTTAAGTGTAAGAATATCAAATTCTTGTTACTTATAGACTATACTAGATTCTAACACTTTATGCAACGATCCTTTTGTAATGTCACTGCACCAAAGTCTCAAAGACTATTGCCAATGATATTACAAAGTTCTCTAACGTAGATTGTTACAAGACAATTCCTTAGATATGATGTCTCTCGCTCAAAGTACATTCCTTTGAACATCCTTTTGCATAAAAGTTTATAATCTAGTCATAGATTTTCAATATTTACTTCCCAATATGGACACGCTTCCATATTTTCCATATGACAACTAATTTCTTAATAGAATCTTATCTATTCATAATGATGTTGATATTGTCCATCCAATATGGAAACATTTCCATAATTTCCAATACTATACTTCCAACTACTCACAAGCGACCAATTCTCGTCGAACTTCGAATCGTCCTTTGATAGTTGTTTAATTATTTTAGTCAGAACCAATTCTAGTCCCTTTTCCCTCTAAATGCGCTGGACATTTGGAAAATTTTAGAATGGTCAAACATTAAAGCATTTGCAATCGATCCTATACCCGAAGCGTATGGGACACGACGCACAATGTTTTATTTTCTATGTTCTCAAAATTCGAATTGTGAAGAGGAATGCAGTAATCATAATCGAAATTTTAAGAACACACTATGTACCTTTGACTAAATTTATTAACCTTCCACAACCTAATCCTTTAGATTTGAAATGAAGCATAATATTCTCTCCCTTAATTATAGCAAAACAACTATACAACCCTTACGACTTTGCAAGGTATAACTCTTGTTTTTCTATAATTAATATTGCCAACTTGCAAAACTTTACATAATAATCATACAATCATAACTTTTATGCTCCCACTATCATGATGATTATTATAAAACATAACACTTATGCTCCCACTAGCTTCGACATGTATTCATAAACATCTTAACTTTCAGAAAAACAATACTTATTGAATTTCTTAAGTTCATGTTTCTAATACTTAGTGCTTTGATAATCTTTTATCAAGGCTTCTTGAACTTATACACTTTTGCCTTAGATAGTTCATATGTGTGTCTTAACAATTAAGACTAATTGCCAAACCTCACAATTCAAATTATGGAAAGGGATGCCGTAACCATGATCGAATTCGAGAATGCAATTTTACAATCACTATCTTTTAAAATCTTTCTTAGTGAAAGCATTTTCTCACAATCATTTTCATGAAGGAGGAAATCTTATGAAACTTAGATTTAAACGGTGTATGTGTTCCTATCCATGTGAATTTGTTAAAAAAAAAAGTTTACGACAAATTCAAACTCATATGGATCGAACTTTCTTAATCTTGATTTCTTGCCTTATGGTAGCACAGCTGCCCACCACGTCTTCCAACTAGTTAAGCAGCTCACCTTTCCTATCAATGTACTTTCCATTGATCAAGGTCCTTGCCTTTTATGCATTCAAATGAGAACTCATAGGACTCACATGCATAATTAACTCGATTGGATTGGCACAGAAACAAAATAATGTCTTCACGATAGGTTGTAAACCTCAACTCGTGTGCTAGTGATAATCGATAAGGTTTATTTGATTTGTTCTTGAAACTTTTCAAGACTATTAAGACTCCCACTGACTCCTTGACATATACGATTCTCTTATCAAAACATTTCTTGACAAACAAATATTCAAGAGTTAGTGTAGCTTTTATCAAAACAAAACACTTCATAATTTTGGTCTTAGTTGATCTTTGTCTTATCCAAGACATCACAACTTTCCACAATTGATGAATTTTATAAACCCTCTTAATACTATTCACTCAATGTCACAATCTTGACTTTAAGACTTGTTTTGGAACGAAGTATGATTGACTTCTTGACTTGACCATTTCTTCAATCTTGCATTCCTCTTTTTGGACATACAATTGTACCAAGACTCACTTAGAGGATCAATTGAGATATGGTTCTTAATTGAGATATGGTTCTTATCTTTTTGCCTACTTGATTCTTCTTATTCGTTTTGCTATTGATCTAAACCCTTTAATCAATTCAAAATTACACTTAATCTTGTAAGTGTAATCATATTTACTAAGCCTTTAGTAAATCATGACGAATATCTTTGTTACTCTTATGGTGAACTTGATCAACACACAACTTTGTGTACTCGATCTCCTAGTCCTTCACTTGACACTTTGTCAATGAATTAGTCTAATTTCCAAATATGAAATTTCTCATTCATCGTGCAACCAGGTTGTATGATTCCAAGTTTCTGTCCAATTGAAACTTGGGCGATGAGAAACTCTCCCTATTTGGTAAATTCTTGACTTTCCATAACACAATAAGAAACAAATCCATTATTGCTAATAATTTTAACATCAATTTTTCATACACGCCATTGTAAGGATAAATAAATAAAATTTAAAATCAAAAATTTATTTTATTGCGGAAAAATTTGTCCTTACAACGCAACTCATTGAAAAACTTATGCTAATACATCTTTCTTAGCAATCTAATTCTAACTCTAAGTAGTAGCTCAAGAATCTAATCTTCGAGAAATGCGATCGAAATCCATTCCTTCACGGTTAGATTCTGCTCACTTCTTCCCTTAAGCTTCTTTTCTTTTCTTTGATCCTTCTAAACTCACATTATGTATTCAGAATCTAGAATGAAGCTTAAAAAAAGTTAGTCAATGGATTTTACCTAAATTAGAGCCATACGTTTCGACTCTCCCATCTCTTAGATCTCTTAGGTAAATAGGGCAGCTTCGTCTCCAATGCCCCTTCTCTTGGCAATAAAAGCAAATTGACTCCTTTTGCAATAGGACATGGAACTACTTCAGACATCGCCTTTCTCTTATGATAAATCTTTTCAATCATAGCATGTCTTTCGTTGCCATTGTCTATATCCACAGAGGTCTCGAAGGCAGATTCACCAATCAAATTTGCTTTTCTATTGCGCCAAACCATTGCTGATTCAGCAACAATAAGCATATAGGTGAGATCTATAAGGGTCACGTCGCAGTTCATCATATAGTACTCTCTTACGAACTCACTATATGAGTTAGGAAGTGATTGAAGAACCCAATCAACAGCCATCTCTTCACCAACAACGGATCCCATCATTCTTAACCTATCAATGTGTGACTTCATCCCTAAGACGTGTGCACACACCGACTTGCCCTCTTTATGTTTACTTGCCAAAAGGGCTTGAGTGATATTGAACCTTTCAATTTTACAATCTTGTGGGTTAGGGAGAATAATTGGAGGAGGAGGAGGAAGTGAAGCATGATTTCTTGTTCCTCGATCGAATCGTGGAATATCATCTTCATGTGGAATGCTTGTTCCACGGGATTTGAGAAGACCATAGTTGTCGAACTTTGACATCGGGAGAAAAACGAATTCAAGTTAGTTGATTGATTGAGTCCTTGGTAAATCACCCAAATGAAATTCCAAGGCTAGGACCCAACACAATATTCTACAACTCGGGAGAGGGATGCCGTAACCCAAATTGAAGAACATTTGAAGGTAAGTGAATGACGATTCACTAATTTCCACCATGAAAAACGAAAAAAATTTAAGTTTTAAATCTATGAAAACTCCTAGATCCTTTGAGATTCATTGAATATTTCAATGGCATGTTTAAATCTCGATATGCCCCTCTTGTTTGTGACTGGGATGCCGAGGATCACAAAGCGGGTGTGAATAACCATGCAAACTACATGGTGCCCTCACATGTTACAATCACCTATTCGATGTGCCGGTAAACCACACACGCTCCACCGAACTATGACAAACATTGAGTCACCCTTTGCTACCTTTGCTTAGAACCATTTAGTGTGCCGGTAAACCACACACGCTCCACTAACGTCTTCGCAAGGGCACAAAGTGTAATTTCATGGAATTGCATCAATTCACTTTTGCCTAAGTAACTAAGATTGGGAATTTGAAAAACATTTAGTTACTTTGTATTTCATTATACTTATAATGGAAGGTTTCGTCCTATCCTACCCGTTCGGCTAACGACCCTCCACTAGTCAAGAGTGCGGTGGGTAAGAGTGGATACCCATTCAATCGCCATTTTATAGGCAATTTCCTTAAACACCCCTTATAGACCAGCTTCGTGAATGAGGCCTACTAACGGTAAGACTGACTTTTACTCATACATATATATAATGTTAGACTTTTAATGTTATATATAGTATAGGGTGTATTTTATACTTTTAAAATACTATGGTTAACTTTAACAATTACACTTTTAATTCAATTAAATGGTTAACCTAAACTTTTATGGATTTATTAAATCTCTTTTAATTATACTCCTTAATTAATTAATAAAACCATAAGGGTGTATTTGAACTTTTCAAAACATTACTAGGGTTTTAGAATTTAACATTCCTAATTAAACTTTTAATCAACTTTTAAATTCCAAAACTTGAGGGCAAGTTTTGAAACCTTTTTCAAAACATTAGGGTTTTAACTATTTAAATTTCAAAACTTCAAAACTTTTGGGTTCAAATTTAAACTATAAAACCTAAAGGGGAAAATATGAAACTTTTCATAACAACAAGGATCAAATAACAAATAATCTAAACTAACATTTAATCACATAATTATCCATATTTGATTTGTTTAATGATTTCTTGCAAAACAATTTATCAATTTACTCAAAATAATTAATCAATTATCTTATAAGGAAACAATTATCTTATTAATTGATAATTATCTTTAATTAGATCAAGAATATAGTCATATATATCATAAAATCGGATTTATATTGATCTAACATGATAAGGTAACTATCCATATGCAAAAATAGCAAGAAATCCCGAGATAAGCATTATCTGACGAGTTGACTCGTCGAGTCAGGCATGGACTCGTCGAGTCTGCATGGACTCGGCGAGTTCAGCCATGGACTCGGCGAGTCCAGCCTCCAGAATCCAAAAAATCGAATTATCTAGTTATACAATGCATCAATACAATTGAAACCAAGCTAGGCTCTGATACCACTGATGGGTTTTGGTCATAAGACATCCTATGTGCTCATACAAACCCTAATGCTTGGATCTAGGTTTCTCTATTGTACATGCTTTGAATCCAAGACTATAAACCCTAATTCTAGCATACAAGTAATCATATTAATATGTAATTAGGTTTAAGATCATACCTTGATTGTTATGTAGCAATAACAATCCCAATTCCTCCTTGAATTGACTTTGGAAGGCTTAGAGTCACAAGTGTCACTCCTCTAATGGTTCACAAACACCATAAGCAAGAGGATGAAGAGGAGAGAGGTTGGAGGCTGCCAAAAACGTGTAGAAACCCTTACAAGAAGCTTAGCCACGTTTTTGAGCCTTAAGGGGTCTTTATATAGTTGGGCTATTAGGGTTATCTAACAAGGAAACCCTAATTTGGATGCTTAAGCCCTAAGCAACCCATAGACTCCTTTTATCAAGCCCATGGACGATTTCCTTATGGGTTTCCCATTAGAATTCGTCCATCCCTTAATATAAGGCAATCCATGGCCCAAATTGCAATTATCTTATAATTACAGTTCCAGTCCCTTAAGTTTAATTAATCTCTTTTAGTCACAAAACTAATTACCAATTAATTATTGACTAATATTAATTAAACAATATGATTTCTCCTTTAATATATTATTCCCATAATATATTAATAAATCATATTTAATCCTTTCTCTCCATAATTCATCCTATCAAGTTGCTTCGGTGAAGGCAACCCAAAAGGACCATGCACCATCGGGTCAAGTACATACCAAAATAGTTATGGACTTAGACACTAATCCAACAGTTTCTTAGGTTTCTTTTTTTTTTTTAGAACCTGAAGTAGATGGTACCTCATTTGGTCTTTGAGGACATGTTGATCTGTTATACCCTCTTTCCTTACAAATGGTACATCTCAAGATCATTCCATTCTTTGAGATCGTATGCCTTGTTCCCTTATCTTCTCTCTCAACCTGATCTCTTTTCTTTTTCATTGTTGGTATTCCAGGTAGCCTTTTTTTAGGGGGCAATGGTTTGGTGTAATCCACTTCATGCCAAATAGCACTACAATTCAGTGGCCTAATGTTATAGCTATAACAACTTGCATACATTGATGTAGTAAACCATTCTGACACATAGTCCTCAGGGTCCCTATTGAGGCTTGAAATGGCAGTATATCCATGCACACAAGGATACCCTGCTAACTGACATGCCCTGCATCCACATTGCCTGGTATTAAGGTCTACAACATATCCATCAATCGCTACCCTCACCTCAAATTGCATATAACCAGAAGGTACCACTTGCCAAAACCTATCCATAATCATATAGAAATTAGAAAATATGAAAAATGTCAAACATATGAGCAATAATAATTTACCTTTGTTTTTCCTTGAGCTTGTTCAACTTCAACCTTATGGAAGGACATATGTTTAGATCCCAAGATTGACCCTTGGTCTTGTAGATATATAAACTTTCCATTACATAAATCCGGATTTCTTCTAACATGGTAATGAGTGGTTTCTTCCTAGCAGCTTCAATCATTGAGTTAAAACTTTCAGAAACACCATTTTCATATGCATCATAACTCCTATCAACCTAAAAAAAATGCTTTACACCAGGTTTTAGGGTCCCTTTCCATCAAATGTTCATAAGTTAGTGGTTCCAGCTTCTTAATTCCATTAATATGGTACTCAAATTTTTATAGAATTGTAGATCCAGTAGCTCTCCAAAACAGCTTCCTAAATATTTTCCCCTTAAATCTTTTTTGGAAATTAGCACAGGTGTGCCTAGCATATTGCCTATGCTCTGCAGCTGGAACCTTTTCCTTCACAGCTTCAACTAATCCCTATAATCAATACATACAAAGCATAAGCTAAAACATATTAAGTATGCAAACTAACAATAAGTGAAGTTTGAACATTACTTTGTGTTGGTTTGATATTATGGTTAGTCCATGCCCAACTCCCATTCCAATGTCATCAATTAGAAGACAAGAAACCACTTCCATGTTTCTTTATTTTCCACAGCAACCACAACCCATGCAACAAGATATATATGGTTGTTTACATCCCTCCTAATGGTTGCAAGCAACTGATCTCTGCATATGCCTTATAAGAAACAACCATCTACTCCAATTAACCTCCTACAACCCTCTATCCATCCATCCTTCAAACCCTTTAAACACACATAAAACTTTGAGAAGTATGTTTCTCCATCAGGCATCACATCCACCTCCATCTTAACTGTTGATCCAGGATTTGTCCTTTTTAAAGTACCTTCTATCTGCTGAAATGCATATTTCCTAGCATTTATGCATTGTCCAACACTTGCTATCAGGTTAAACCTTTTACTGACCTTAGCTTTCAATTTCCTAATGCCCGTCTTTGGTTTCTGTAATATCTCATTCATGAAATGATTTCCAATCCATTTGTAGCTTATAATGGACTAAATTTGAATACTTTTAAACAATTTTGCCTATCAATTAAGGACTTAATCTGAAAAGACCTCTCATTCTTCATCCATGTTCCCACAACCTAAAGGGATAACTCTTATTCTTCTTATTCTTATTATGTTTACAACATTTTGCCAATAGCTTTTGATAATCATTTTTTTCATACCATAAATCATACCCATTCTTGACAGCATAGTTGGTTAGACATAACTTCAATTAAAGAGGGTTGGAAAACTTCATACCTAAAACAAGGACCATTTTATCCCATTCTTGATTCTCATCAAAGACAAGGAAGACAAACTCATCATCTTCATCACTGACATTATCATCATCATCATTTACTTATTCTTGATTACTATCAAGAATGGATTTACCACACAACTTGTTCAAAAATTCATCATCAACTGTTTTGTCAAAAGTATGCACCTCTTCATCAGGTTCATTCTCACATTCTATTATAGCTGAAATATGTGAGTATGTATCATCATCTTCTACCAACTCATACACCCCATCACCTGTTAACATGTCCTTATCGGCCCAGTCAAAAATAGGTTCATTTTGGTGGTCCATGTAGACATTCATTCTTAGCTCATTCTTAGCCATGTAACCATCTTCAATAAAATCAAAATAATCAGCATCATTGTCGATTCTTCTAATACCCTCTGCCAATCTTTCATGAGTACTACAATAGTACAAATTATTACAGCATCGTCTTGCGTCTTTGAAACCCACAACACAAATTCTCTACAGTTCATGCCACCAAAATCCACATCCCGAACTGACATTCTAATAGGGTCTAAGTACACTAATGTGTTTGGTGCAAACATTTTGTTGTAGTGAAAATCTACAGTGAGATATGTACCATTAGGTAATTCCATTGTAGTGTCTACAGTCGACGATTTCGAGTCCCAACTTCAGTTCCAAACAGTGAGCTCCTACTGCTTCAATCGGGTGATTTCTTAGAAAAATTAATTAATCGAGAATGATTTGGGGGAGGATTCGGAGTATTTATTAAGAACCCTAATTAAATGAGGTCGATTCACCTTGATTAAATGAAGTCGAATCTAGACAAAGGGTGTGATACACACGTCATATGACACGATTAAAACTGGTATTAGCCGGTAATATCAGTGTAATTTAAACAGGTAAAACATGTTACTTGTTTTTTTTATGTACAAAAAAAATTGCCAATATGTGAACACAAATAACAAGTAGTTACCCTCCTAAGTCATTTTCCCTTAAATAATTACTTATAAATTATGGAGGTAAAGTCATCTCCAATGTATTGAATTAAACCAATCATAATTTCACTAACTTGTTAATTTACCCGTTAATTTCAATATTTTATTAAACTCTCTTAAAATTTAATGGATCGTCGTATCATCATCTTATTATATAATTTTATAAATAATATTAGTATATAAAACTAGAATATTAAATTAATTAGAAATTGAAAGTTACAAATTACTAATTAAAGATTACAAGTTGTATTGTAAATAAGATATGATCAGTAAAAAAAATTGTTTTTTTTTTTTTATTTTTTATTGTTTAGACACATAAAAATAAATTATAAAACGAAATTTATTTTCTTACAAACTTAAAATATATCATTTTAATTAACTTAGCAAATTAAATTATTAAATATAAAATAAAGTAACTTATAAATAAAAATAGAAAAAATTTCATAATTGGTTTGTTTAGTTTGCAAAATACCTCACATTGAAGATTTTCAAAGAAAACGTCTTGCCTCTAACTCTTTTGGTTTGCAAAATTACATAAAATGTTCTCCTGTAGTTAAATCTAACTTGACAACTACTAGATTTTAATAAAAATATTATTTTACCCTTGTATCTTCGCAATATACTACAAACCTTATGTACCATTTATGTAATTTTGTAAATTTTAAATTTTGTATATGTATAAATTATAAATACAAATTATATATATATATATATATATATATATATATATATATATATATATATATATATATATATATATAATTTGGATGCTCCATAGTTAATATCGTTAGCAACTTTATGTTTGCATTTATCATTATCATTATTTCGCCTTTTGTTCTCTATTTTTTTTTTACAATTTTAGTTATTTATTATTCTTATATTACTTTTGTTTATTTTGATTCAAGTAATAAAAAAATAAAAACTCAAAAACCAAAATTGTAATATACTATAATATATTAATATATTTAACATTTTTCATCTTTTTTTGGTTTTTTCGTATTTTTTTAATTTTATCGTATTTTTTAAAAACAAAATTTATTAACTTTTTTTGGTTTTTTTCGTATTATTTACAAAAACCATAAATAACTAAAATTATAAAAAAAAAAATAGAAAACCAAAAAAAGCCCAAACACTAATATTATAATATACTCTAATATATTCATACAATTTACATTTTTTTTAAAAAGTAAAAATAAAAAAAGTTATCAAATTGATGAAAAATAAAAAGAAACTATGAAAAATTGAAATACGAAAAAATTAAAAAAATATATGAAAAAAATAAAAAAAACATAAAAAGATGAAAAGTGTAAAATATATTAATGTATTAGTGTATATCACCACTTTTGTGTTTGAGTTTTTATTTTTTGTTTTTCTGTTTTTCATTACTTGAATCAAAATAAATAAAAATAATAGAAGGATAAAAAATAACTAAAATTATAGTTAAAAATAGATAAGAAAATGTGAAATAATGATAATGATAAATGCAAACATAAAGTTTCTAACGATATTAACTATGAAGCATCCAATTAAAAAAACATGAACCATAAATGCATAAAAATTTTAAAGTTAAAAAAATTACACTTCAATTCACAGATAAGAAAAATTAAAGGAAAAATGGTTTCGATATGATTTATTGTATTTAAGTTTATTTTCTTGAATCAAAATAAATAAGAAGATTAAAAAAAACAAAAATAACTAAAATTATAAAATCAAAATGTCAAAAAGATTAAAAAAAGTTATCAAATTATATATTGCAAATTATATAAAGATCAAAATGTCCTTAAGGTTTGTAGTATATTGCAAATTTGGTACAAGTGCAAAATAGTCTTTTTTTTTATTATTAAAATCTTACACCTGAACAATTAGATTTAACGTCAGGAGGAAATTTCATGGAATTCTGTAAAGCACAGGACCAGTAGCGTGACGTTTTCCCAAAAAGTTATCAAATTAATATGTTTTGCAAACCAATGGGACCAATTATGAAATTTTATCTACAAATTAAGTAAAAAGTGATATATATATATATATATATATATATATATATATATATATATATATATATATATATGCAAGCTGAATGATGATTGAACTGTTGTGGTGTGTATGTGTGTGTGTATATATGTATATATATATATATATATATATATATATATATAGGGAGAGAGAGAGAGAGAGAGAGTGAGTGAGAGCGAGCGAGCTAAGCACAAATGTGTATTGACATTTATTGTGCGCATGTGTGGACAGTGCTATTATGTGAGAATGATAAAGAAAATATGTTGTTTGATAATGTGAATACATTCCATCTTACATAACTATTGTCATTATCACACATTCTCACTAATTAAACCGGCTACAAGGTTATTATAGACTTTTTATTATTATACTCATTCTGTCAGAATTTTATTGAGTCGTATTTTCTAATAATGAAAATGAGTGAAAAACGTACGTGAGAATAAAAATAAATAAGAATTAGTGTGAATGTATGAAAATGACAATAGTTGTGTGAGGTTGAACGCAATCACACTACTAAAAAACCTATTCTCTTAGTAATTCTCATAGAATAACACCATCCACACGTCCACACAATAGGTGCCCATCCACATTATAACCTAGCTCTCTCTCTCTCTCTATATATATATATATATATATATATATATATATATATATATATATATATATGCATACACACACCACAATTCAATCATTATTCAACTTGCATTCATTAAACTTAGGCCATCTCCAACCCACTTCCATGTTTTCCCCCAAAAATAGAGTAAAAAAATGGGGTAAATAGTATTTTATCTCCAACCCTACTCCATTTTTTACACCATTTTTACTTCCAAAAAGTATATTCCATTTTTCTAACTTATATAAATTGTCAAACTCACCTCTTCTATTAATTTGGTTTTAATAAATATATAATCTATATTTTTTCATTACAATAATATTAAATAAAAAAGATTATATTTATAATACATAATTTATAAGCTTTTGTAAAACACGTTATTGTGTTTTAAATTTTCAATATGTATTTAAATTTTAATATGAATTTTTTAAACAAAAAATAAACTTTATATTTTAAATTAATAAATTTAATTTAATATATAAAACAATATTATAAGTATTAAATATTACATTTAAAGAATAAGGAGTAGATAAAAAAACCCGAAATGTATAAATATATAAAATGGGGAAGTAAAACCGAAAATTCAAAGTTCATCCCCATTTCGGAGGAAATAAATAGTATACCACCATATTTGGTGTTATACTATTCATTTCCCTTAAAATGGCGGAATAAATAGAGAAGAGTTTGACAGAAATGTGGGAGGAAATAGGAGAAATAATGGAGAATTTGAGTGGGTTGGAGATGCACTTAGGTCACAATGTAAGTTTAATAGTTGTATGTATCGTCACGTCATTATTTTTTCACCATTAAACTTCTCATTCGATCTCCATTTGGATGGTCTTACTCTTATGTATATTATCATAATAGCAAGCAAACAGATAAATTATAAATTAAAGATTTCTTATAAACAAAATTGCAAAAATAATCTATGTGGTTTTTCATTTTGTCGAGCTATGGTCAAAACATTTAGAAAGTTGTGTATTTGGTATTTTTTTATTATGGATTTAGCCTTTGTCATAATTGAAAAAACTCTTTTACCTTTATCATTTAATTTTTATATTTTTTTAATATTTATAAATATTTAATAATTTGAAAATATAAGATAGATATCATCCAACCCACCTATGTATGATACTTTTTGTAACATCCCAAAAATCATGACAATTTTAGTTTCTAAAACCATATCAAAATTCATTAATCATAAAAAAACATAGTTTCCAAAAGTCATAATGTAACATCCCAAAAATAAGACCACAAATTTTCATTTTTAATTTTATAAAAACTGTAATCCAAACATTTTCATATAGCCCAAAAGATCAAAGTATGGCATTACATCATATCATATCAGAGTAATCTCAAAATGAGAAAAAAATGTGGTGTGTGCTCAACAATCATCCTGGACTCTCCCATTTTGATCCTGAAGTACGTGGGACATAAACTGAAAACCGTAAGTCTAAAGCTTCATGAGTACCCCAAAATACCACATACCATACATAAATAAACACATATTGGGCTCCCGCCCCACATCGGGCCTCACCCGACATCAAGTCCCACTCGGTCTCTAGCCCCGCCAGGCATCGAGCCCTACTCATATTACATATATGCAATTCATTAGGTCCCCCTGACATCGGGTCCCACCTAGTACATATAATAAACGTATAACATGTAATCATGATAACACATGCGATAATCACAAAACAATAGCGTACAATACAATCATCGGGCCTCACCCAGCATTGAGCCTCGCTCAGCATACATACCAACACATAACACATGCAAGAGTCATGCAGACATCTAGCATCCTATCATCTTAATCATGGCTTGGCATTGGTACCTTCGACCCGCTAAACACAGTGAAGAAACTCACCTTAGACTGTTGAATCAATAGGTGATGAGGCCTCGCCTCCAAATCTCAGCTTTAACCGACACCTAACCATCAAAAGATCAGTTCTCAATCACATTCCAAAATACCCAAAATACACCGTTGGGTAAAACTGTGTCAAATGGTCAA